CTAGTCCGTGCAATCACGATAGCCCAATATCCTGATACTATCTGAATTAACAAATTTATATTGAGATATTATTTGAATGTGATTTGCATTTACTGAATATATATTTTAATGAGCTTAATAAACGATTTGGTTAATTAGACTTTACAATAGACATAATTAAAAAAAATACAAATAAAAAAAAATTTAACAAAAAAATCACACTTTACCTTTGATGTGTTTAGGTACAATAAATAACTTGGTCTGCTTTGTTTAGAACTACTAATTGATTTTGTTAACGAAGTATATGTTTACTTTTTTATTCCAATTTATTTTTATTGATATAAAAAATATAGATTGTAATCACATGGAATCTTATTTTGAACCGACTTCAAACAAGGAGGAGGTCCTAAATTCTGTTTCATGTTGATTTCATATAATAGCAAATACATACAGTGTGAACGGTTCGCAAAGGATTGTTTATTGTTATAAAACACTATTAAATAACTTCTTAATATTCTAGTATTCCTTTGTTAGTATACTGTAGGAAAGAAAATCAGAATAAAACTAAACACTAAAAAGAAATGTAATATCGTATGAATGTCGGTCTTTTTGCTGTGAATCATCCGATAGCGCGTTTTTATTTTCATCAGCGCCATCTAGCTCTTTTTAGTGAACTACATAAAAATGGGAAAATATGTAATGTATCACATATTTTATAAAAATATAGACTATTTTAAATTCATGTAATACAAAGTATTTCAATTCTTTTATAAAAGATTTTATATAGTTTCCTACAGATTTAGTAAAAATTTATTCAGAAAATAACGTCGAAAAATTTATTATTTTTAATTTTCCTATAAAATGTATTTTCCGCAGTAAAAATTAGTTTATATTTTTTATTAGCGTTCATTTTGTCACGTAAGAAAAAATCGAATGAGTTAAATCACTTCTACTCTGGAACATTAGTTATTTTCCAAAGAAAACTGCAATCAATTTTGTGGACTAATGTTTGCTTGATGCAGGAAGAAATGTCCAGACAAAAAGACGAAAATATGAAAATTATTATTTTGGCTTCTGTTCTTGTTAGCTGTGCTCTTATTAAGACTCCTCACATATTTTTTTTATAAATATCTGCTATCTACAGACGTCATCATTTACCATAGGGAGTCTTTGGACAAAAGTCGTTTGTTTGGTCACCTCTGTCCCACCTGTGTTTCTACCGTGAAGCAGTTGTGTTTGCATGATTGTGTTTCGATTTGAAGGGTGGGATATGGTAGTCAATTTATAGAGTACAGAGGAATAACACCTGATTCCTCAGGAATGGCAACGCATGGAGGAGTATCATGGGCGAATCAGTATACTCTGTTATGTCCATGGTACTGCTCATGTCTATAGGTGATGGTTACCATTTATATCAAGTGGGCAGTCAGATTGTTTTCCATTATACAATTTACAATTTTATTATATTAGTAAGGATAAAATTTAACTAAATATACCTATTACAAACTTTCGTTCTATTTTAACCAACAGTTATTTAAAATAGCTTCTAATTATTGTTATACCTATATATATAGTAATAAATTTAGAACATAGTTATTTTTAGCACAAAGAGTTTCAATTCCTAATTCCTGTGAAAATGTCGTACCTGCCCAAAGTGAGTTCGGAGTAGGCATTTAACTTATCTCCGTTTTACAAAGTTTCGAAGTTCCGTAGTTTGCCACATGTATTTATGTTAATGAATAATAATATAATATAGCATGTAGGTATAACAAGGTGTAACAGAAATATTTTTAGATATAATTAATAATATTAGGTATTCGCTAAACTCAGTTTTTTTCTCCTAGAAATATAAATAATATCACTGGCTATATCACACAACGCCATCTAGTACCAAATTAACGACAACTTATACTATGAATACTAGACAACTAAAAACATAAATACTTGTTTATTACTGATTCAAGCATAATATTGATAGAAAACACGCAGAACAATAAAAGCGGATAAAATTACAAATACAAATATTCGCAACGTGCGCGGCTCGAACCCGCGGCCCTTGTGAGTTAAAACGTTCGTGTGAAGCCGTAGATCAGTGAGGTCATTAGAAAAATCGAATTTCTACTATTTTCAACTAAATGTATTCCTTTGATTGCATACCACTGTTCATACAAATATTACAAATAATAATTGATTATTTTTTAACTTACCACTGAGATACAGGCCCAGCCTAGTTCGGTGACTAGTAGATGTAACTAGGTGTAAATTGTTATTAAATAAAGAATTATCAAATATCAATATTATTCTAAAAAAACAAATTAATGAATGAAATTTCATTGTTCTTTAAAAAAAAAAAACTTTTTTTAAATTCTAGTTGGCCAGTCGTATATAAAATATAATTACGTAAAATGTGTAGACAAAAAAACAGCGTTACAAGAAGCAAGGTAAAGCGGCAACAATGGGCGGCCTTATCGCTAAATAGCAATCTCTTCCAGACAACCTTACGAAGGAGATGAGTAATTAAATTAATGAATTACTTTTTAAATTATCTGAAGTGAATCGTTGTCTATTTTGTTTAGAGTGTTTTCATTACTTTATTTTGTTTTTTTTTTTGTTTTTTTATTTGAATATGGATTAGGTATTCCTATTTTTTTTTTTATTTTACTATTAGGTATACCCAATGAAGTTTTATCTAGGCGATGGCTATACTTACATAGGAGATATTTAAGAAGAAAAAATGGTCGAATGTTAGTGTGTTAAACTCAATCGCTAGGAAATCCATATAAAATCATTTCTAAATGGGTCTTAGTTTTTTTTAGGTAAAATTTTATTTTAATTATAATGTATAATATATGAAAGTATTATTTTTAAATATGTTATGATATGATATAAAAGAAAAAAATACTAAACGAAATGTCAGGAGAATGAGACGCTGCTTCCATCAAATTTAAAACAAAACAATGTTCTTAATAGTAATGCTAGAGTACTTACATTTCCCGGAAAGAATATTACATCGCAGTCTAATTTTAAACAACGCTATCTATTAAATAAATATAGCACTAAAAAGTTTTTTTTGTACATTGTTGATAATAATTATCATTCATTCCTCTTCTTTCCTTATTGTATTTTTTATATAAAATAGACGCCTAATTGTTATCGGTATTTTAATTAGAAATTTGTCATTTTATTTAGACTGTAACTATAGCTAAAAACCGAACTGCATAATTAAGTTTTATTTGGAAGTTTATTTTAATATATTCTCGAAGACTATGGTAGTCACAAACGTACTTCTATTTTTCCTGTAATTATTTTTCATTTTTTTCTTCGTAAACTTGAAGAAGAGGGGAAATGATATTTTTAATATTAGGTCGAAAACTACGTTGTATAAATAAATATAAATAAAAATCAGTTTTAAAATTTACAAATGAAGCCTTTTCATATGATACCCCACGTGCTCTAGTAATGAAATTTAAAATTTCGAATATCCAATTTAGACACATTAGCATGGAAAATAAACTTATTTTTCAATTATTTCGAATGCAATATTTTCTATATATATTTCAAATCGATACCAATAGTTGCTGAGATATGAAGCTGTGACAGACAGTCAGAAGGAGGGACAACGTCGCATAAGGGTTCTTTGGTACCTTTTTGGTACAGGACTATAAAAGCTGATATAAGGGAGATGTGAAGAAGAATTGATAAAAGCAATAGAAGGTAAAACAATAAAATGTGGAAGTTTTTTCTGTCAGTCTGCATGTTTGTTCCAGCTTTGTACAAAAACTGCTGCATTAAATTGGATGCGGTCATCACAGCTATACTCTTGAAGGTTACTTAAAATACGTTAATTTTTTTTTCATTTATTTCCATTTTGCTTCTTACGGTACAAAACACTATAACTTAGCGGTGTAATTTTTTTTATCAATATTTTATAAGAACTTTAAGAAGGGAGACAGGCTATTTTTTACTTTATGATATCTTATTCCTATAGGAAAATGTAATCAAATATCTTTTTGATGTAATTTTCTGTGATATTTATTAAATAGTCGGATACAGGTTATATATATTAGCTATCTTTATTATTGACTAATACTTTATTCCCATGGATAATTTCAACCCTCTTTTATTAAATTAAATCTTGAAGTGGACGTATTATATTAATTTCAAATGAATATATTGTCATAAAATGTAGTCGCTTCTGCAGTTTGCATGCATGTAGTTTATTTAGGAGAACTAGATGGCGCTGTAATAAATAAGAACGCGCTATTGGATGGTTTCCACAAAGTATCATAATGTTCATACCATAAATTAAAAAGTTTTTATTTACTCTTGAAAACCAGTGCTTTTAAAAATATAATGTATAAGAACCAATATTACGAATAATTTCGGACATTATTATTAAAATTACATTGCTAATATGATTATATTATTTACATCCTGTTGTTATAAATATATTTCTGCCCCAGTTTTCACTGTTGAACAAATTTTGATAAAATTTAACATCGGAATCATTTAGCGCCTATTAAATGATTATTGTTGCTGAAATACTAACAATTGTTATTTTTTTTAAAAGCCATACGTTATGTATTTCATATTAATTCATTTTTTTTTCAATAAAAATTGTCATATATAACAATTTTTATTGAGAACATCACAGACACAGTGTGCTGTGATGTATTAGTGTTTTGTCATAGTTTATAGTCACTCGGTTCCCAGCGTGATAACTCACGTCACGCCGGGAACCGAGTGAGCCGATGCAAGGGTTGCGCTCAGCAATGTACCCTCTCCGCACATTCGCACCGTGCACATACAGAAGACTCATACATAGAATATTATATAACGCATGCGCGCAGCATCTGTACCTCATCCCGCGGCACCCTAATGCTTATATTTTTGTAATATCGACTTTAGGCGTGAAAGCATACAGTCGAAATTGGAATAAGAGTTATCCCACTGTAGTGAAGTTCCATTACGAAGCAGCAATAAGCTTCCAGAATTCAGATTTTTTTAGATGAGTCCCAAGCGCGTCGAAATAGGGACGTAACTTTCGTGCGCCCTTCAGTGTTAATATTGTTACGCGAGATTAACATTTTATCTACGAAAAACTATTGTTCTCAGTGGGTATTACAACAAAACGCGTGTGTATTGTTCTGTGGCGATTGTGAATTCTGGTTTGTGTATGTTCGTTGATTTGGAATTTAATTAAACAAAGTAAGTTCAACTTTATTTACTTTTATGGAACTTTTTGAATGCAAATCGAATGTTTAATGTCAGAGTCAAGGAAGTGAATTTCAAATGAGTTGAATAATATTTGAGTTTTAATATTTCGGAAGGCCAAACTTGACGACTAATCTGTATAACTTGGGACTTAGGAATTTAATTAAATAATAAACAAAAATATTAAATATGACATTTAATAACTGATGTTAATTCTTTGTAATATTTTCATTTTAAATGACTACTTTAAACAAACTTCTAATTTATGTTTATTTTATTTAAATAAGAATATTTAATAGTGTAAATTATGTGATGTTGTTTTTATTATTTCATTAATATTAATTAATATTCATGAAATCATTAATATTAATGGATAATAAATAACTCTAATAACTTAATCTAATGATTAGATGGTAAAGAATACAATACTGTATTAAACTGGCCATTTTATTTTGTAATAAAAAAATATGATTAATGAAATAATATTAAATTTACTTAATTAATAATATTATTTCGTAAAAGTGTCATGATGGCTGTTTACGCGATAACGGATGCAGTAAAAACTTTATAAATACCGGGAAAATTCGTAACGACCGAAGTTCAAATAAACTGCTGCCGTTACAGACGTTATAGGCCTATTATTATGATTTTCCGGTTATAAAATATGACTGTATGTCTCGACTCTAATATTCTATTTGATAACTGAATGTTGTCGCTGATCGCTCACAGAAATTATTCTACACTATCTTTTACTTGCGACTTCGTTCGCATGACCGGGATATGTCCACTGAGCGAGATAAAAAGTAGCCTATGTCCGTCGATTTCCTATATGTGTATATCGAATTACACAGTGATTGGTTAAGCTACTAAAGCGTTAAAAGGTAACAAACAAACTAAATAATAATAGTATTGTCCTTATATCTTTAATTCTATAAATGTGAAGATATCTTTTTTTACTATTGAGCGCTGGTATTGTCCTTATATCCTTAATTATATAAATATGAGTCTTTTTTTACTATTGAAGGGCCCTGCGATTGATCATGATCGTAACTTTCAATCAGGGGGTCTACCATGAAATGGAATTCCGAATTTTCGGACTCAATTTCGTGTTTTCTTCATACCGAAATCGACCCAGTAAATGGAGCTTAATATTTCGTTTGTCATAAATTCTACCATAAAAGTCCAAAGGAACGATACTTTCGCATTTTTTATATTTTTAAACGGTATGTATCATGTAATTTTAACATCAAATTTGTGTTTCGTTCAAACCCGAAATTACGGAAAACATTTCATGGTAAGCCCTCAGGTGAGATTGAAACTTACGATGTGATCTAAAATGGGGGTCGCGTATTCACAAATAGCCTATTCAAATTTCCTTTAAATTGGTCTAGATTACACGTGGTAGGGATAACATAAGCAACATAATTCACCAGAGGTAGACTTTGTACAAAAGTTGTTTCCTTGGGTACCTTTGTCCCATTCGTATTTCAACCGTGAAACAGTTGTGTTTGTATGGCTGTGTTTCGGTTTGAAGGGTAAATAACTGCTCATGTCTATCAGGTTGTCCGTCAGCTCGTTTGCCATTCTAAGTTGTATAAAAAAAATATTAGCATTATAGATGTTAAAGTGAGTTTGCAATTCACCTCTATTTTTTTTTTATGTTTTTGTGTTTATCTTACGAGATATGTTTATTAGGCTTTATTATTATTAACCGATTTTGATTTTTTTTTATTTAGTAAGCTAGTTTAATACAAGTTTATCTTCATCTGAATTCACTTTGTCTTATTGGAAATACTTTAGTTAATATTATTTATACAATTTTTATATATGTAAGCTATGTACTTGTATTAAAGTAATTCTTTTCCGCTGTTAAGTGTCTACTTATATTGCTAGCAAATAGAAAAATAAAATAATATGGAACTAATACGGGAGTCGAAAAACTTTTTTTCTAAATTAACCGTTAAAAGGTAACCTATTGACACATTTTATTGGTAAATAAAGTTTAAACTAGTAAGTCTATACATATTATATATATATATATATATATATATATATATATATATATATATATATATATTTTTTATATATATATATTTTTTTAAAGTTGGTTAAAAAATCAAGCCTATTGTTTGTAGATTTCTTTTTATCGTAAAGATACAGTCAGAAATAAATTTTGAAATCAGGTAAAACAAAACAAAATGAAATATTCAATAAGAAATATTGCATCTAATGATTAAAAAAAGAAGCAATATCTCCCAAAAGAGAAAAGCGATTATATTAATGTAATTTGAATGTTTTACGAGCATTCTTAACCCTTGTGTTGGCCATATATCCCCTATCTTTTAACCATAAAGGAAAAATGCTCCAAATATTTATACTTAATAATTCTAGAGATATTTTTTTAATGTTTTGGAAACCTTTGAAGTAGTAACGCAGGTGGAAGGCCAACCGGTCTTTTACTACAAAGATTCTTTCTGATCGATCTATCAACGGAACGCCTAAACAGCCGTGGTTTGATATTTGAAATTTTCAATACAGACTCCTTTACGATACAGGAATCTCCACTGATAAAAAACTTTTGGAAAATCATACGGGAACAGAAGATACATAAATCCGCTTGTCAATCTAAAGATAGATTATGTATTTCAATAAATAATATAATACTACATAAATGAAATGTATTGTTAATTCATTTATTTATATAAAGAAAACTACAGAAAACAGATAACTAACATAAAAAATCAGATTATATAGATAGAGTGTCTCCATAGAAATGCTTTGAGAAAAACAGGTCAACTTTTTCATACAATTTTGCGTGATAAATAGTTATGAGCGATTCCTTTATAACTTCTATATTTATTTTGTCTTATAATGTCTGCATCTTTTTAATGCGTAAATACTCATTTTATTTATTAAATAATACATCAAGATACATTTTATGCATAAGTTATATACTTACGCATAATTAGAAAAATTTACACTGACAGAAAAAAACCATTCAGCTAATTTGACAATTTACAAAAAGTTGACCCGTTTTTGAGGCTCGATACTCCATATATATAATCTAAGCATAAAAATTACTATTTTGTAATAATAGTATTTTCTGCTAACAACGTTTTTTATCAATCTTCATAAACAAAACATAAATTTCAAAGTGTTGTAACTCTTACGAAATTACGCAATCTTATTTTCATATAAATAAAAATACATAATAAAATCATACTGCAATAAATGTAAAAAATACAATTCCTGTCATATATAACTTAATTGTACTTAATATAAATTGTAATTAATGTACTAAGACCCAACTGTTTGTCAGCTACCTTGTATGCATAAATTTCAGAAAACTGAAAGTACTTCTAGGAATGCTACGTAGAAATGATTTATTTCATTATCAAAATAAAACGTACACCAGATTTTAAATTACACTTTAGAAATACAACAGTGAAAACCGCATCTAATTTGGATAGATAGATAGATAGATAATTTATTTGCATTACTTACAGCACACAAATTACAACATATATAAATTATTATATTAGATAGATTTGGTGCAATAGTTTTTGTGTGATGCCGGAAAAAGTGCATACACAGACAAATTGATAAAATTACTAAAAAATATTGTTTTGGTACCTTATATTATTAATTTAATCTTAAATATATTAGTAAGATAAAATATACCATACTATATTTCGTAATTTTCCTGTTATCTCATAGATTCTTGTAATAGAACGATGTTACTCGTATTAAAACATTTCATTATCTTTAAAACATATCATCAGAATAATCTTGTGAAAGTTTAGCTACATTGTGAACGAAACCAATAACATTAAGTAGTTGTTAATAATAATTTAATACCTAAATCTTGATAAAATTAATGTGGGACCAACACGAAAGTAAACAATTTAACTATCCACTGCTGTACATAAGCCTACTCCTTAAGCAGTTAGGCTTTGGAGATATGTTAAGTTACATGTATTTACGTTATATGTATTAGAGAGTAAACAATATCAACTGCAAAAACTGTTTATAAAAATCAATTTAGAATTAGAAATTATATGGTATGACATATATATGAAAGGTTAAAAGCAAATTGAGAGTAATTTCCTTTTGCAAGATACTTAAAAATAACTTTTGTCTGAAAGAGAGCATACTCGGTTACCACAAAGATCGTCTGATCTTGCGTCGTCGATATTCGACTATATTAATATAAGACAGTTGCAACAAAGAATTGCTCAACAGCTAAGTATAGAAACTATAAATATAAAATACCAGCTGACTAGTAGCGGATTTGCCAGCAGACTGAATAGGCTGGAGTCTTGGGTGTCAAATTTGGGGCCAATTTCTTTCTATAATCATAAACAATTTTAATTGTATTCAATATGATCGTAAACTAGGATATAGAATTATAGATATTGATCGGAATGGCAAATTTTGAATAGCCTTTCTTTTCCTTTTTAAGAACTGCGTCCTTATCGGTGAAGTTTTTGCCACTCGCTACTATTTTCAGCGAATCTCTTAATTTTTGATACGACACGATACCAATTTATTTCTTGATCTGCCTGTTTTCAATATTTTGCCTTCTGATCTCAATAGTTTTAATAATTTGTCTCTTTTCCTTAACCCTAAGTACGGTACGGTATATACTATACTCTCTCTTCAAATTTGCGGGTTTCGTCTTGTCGATGCAACTAATTCATGCATTTTCTTCCAGCCAGCTCTATTCCAGGTCATTTCTTTGACCTCCCTAAATAACATGACACCTAGTTTTTCCTTTATCTATATTAATATATAGTAGTAGTAGTAATAATAATAATAATAAAACATAATAGTCTGTGTGTCGCAACTTTACTTGAATGAATAAGGATAAAAAAATAGATAAATTTACTAATCTTGAAGATAACATATTTAATATTTATTCAAATCTTTTAGCTTTTTCAAATAACAAACATTATTCATAAGTCAAAACACTACAATTAATTTTCAGAATTCAC